TCTTTTTGCCTGGCCTATATCTATGGCAGACAATCTCAAATCCCGTATTTTAAGTAAGAGTTACCATGTACTTAATTTTACTGTAATTTGTATCACTAAGGTTGGAATCCCTTGGCTAAGTCTCTTTATAAATCAAGGGCCTGAAAAGGGATTTCAAATAGGAAGTAAGAGAGATGAAGTTAGGCTGATATGGAGAAATTACTGGGTTATAGAACAAAGTTTAGGCATTGCACGCTCTTGACCATTGAACAGGAACACAACACAAAGCAACTCAACTGCTGGAAATTTTAGCATCGAGCTGTGGCGAGTATTGAGAACACAAGAGTCTATATTCTGTGTCAGAAAATGCACATCTAAGGTTCTAAAAGCCAGAACACTGTCAACAAGAGAGGTGCTTGGACAGCAGGATCACTGAGGAGAGGTAGGTCTTGAGGTCCTTCAGGCTCTGCAGGTCAAGTTAGCTCTTTGAAAACCTAGCTCCTCATTCTGGTATCACTGTTCAAGGTATCTACATCAAACAAATTATGCCACGTCTCTTGTTGACTTCTGGAGTACTCACTCATGTTTTAAAGCAGGCATCTCCTTTCCTCTTCCTTCAAGCTCACTTCAACCCACTTCCCCAGGAATAGATCTCCTTCAGCTGTGGGATAGGACTGATTTTTGGAAGGGAGAGAAAGAGAAGCAGATTCAGAGCATGTTGTCCACTACAGGACAGATGTGGAGCAGCACAGCTGGGTGCAGGGTCTAGGAAGGCCCTTCAAATTCAGAGTTTCCTCTTATACCCACATATGAAAGGACTGAGGTTCGTGAAAAAGAGAATTAGGAAGAGTGCACAGCTAGTACAGCACAGAAAAATAAACAAAGCATTTGGGAGGCATTTTCTCTGCTGGGGGACATCCCAAATATGGAAGCCAAAAGTTAAATCCATAGACAGTAATCTATATATGGCACTGTAGTATATGCAGATATACTGTAATCAATAAACTACAACATATATATCAATGTCACCTCTCATGTTACCTCTACTTTGGAGGTATTCTGCTGGTGCCCCCTTGTCACTGAATAGGAGCCCAGTTCTTGAGAGGAAACCTCTTTAATGTGTTGTTTCCTTTGCAGTTTCAAAGAGGATATAGAATGTCTCTGAATCTCTGTACAATAGATAGACCTGGTGCTTCATAAAAATGGGAAAGCCAGCTGTTAGATTCCCATTCAGTAAAATGTGTAGGTTAGAAAAATAAGAGAAGGGCAGAAAGCTTTGGAATTAAAGGATGAAACCGTTTAAGATACGTATGTAAGAAAATAGCTGTGGCATTTAGATATCAAACAAAGAAACAATGTAATAGAAGAAAATTACTCTTCCTGTTTATCTCTTAAAAAGAAGCCTGAGTACATTGGAGCCATGAGATAGGAACCACTCTAATGTTACCAACTGTCTTGGAAAGTATAACAAAGAGATTTGCTTTTAATTAAAACATTTTTCAAAACACTTCAGTAACCTTCAGAATCAGTAAGCAGCTTACAACTGTTGTAACAAATATTTAATATTCCCTGTGTCCTGAAACTGGCGTGGTTTTTTTGTTTGGTTTTGGTTTTGGGTTTGGTTTTTTTTGTTTGATTGGTTTTTTTTCTGTTTACAAAGCTCGTAAATCTGCTGAGAGTCATTTCACTGGTCAACCACTGCATTCACTGAAACTGAATTTACTTTTAAGTTTGGAACAAAGAGAAGAACCTAGTAATATGCCCAGTGAAAACAGACAGAGAGATTGCATTCTCAAGAAGTGCATAATTTAAAATTAAACCCTAATTTAATGGTGTGTTAGAAAATTATTTTGTACCTTTATTATGAAAATAATTTTGTAATTTTGAATAATTTGTTATTTCTGAGTACATGGAAACTACATGCATTCTTATTTACCAGAATTATCATAGCAAAAGTGATTCAGCTACTGTGCCTAAGGATGAGTTTTATCCTCTAGTATTTTATATTTTTTATATTGCTGTAGAGAGACTATGAAATGGATTTCTGTTGACATCTCTAAACTCCACAGTATGAAAACTAAATGTTTTAGTTGTAACCTTATTTTCCTTTATTTATTTCCCCATCTTTGTTTACTGTCTTTGACTGTGACTAGAGTCTCCTTGAAAAACAGTCTGGTTTCTTTGTAGTACCACAGAGTATGCAATATATTTAGAGTGGAACTGAAATGTAATTATAATAAAAGAAATAATAAAAAAAAGATTTTGCATGTAACCAGTTATGTGAATTATGACATGATTTTATTGTATTACCCATTTTAGAATTGTCTTAATTGGAAACTGTAGCCTTGACAATGATTTTCCTAGCCCTCAGAAATGTGGATAGAAACTAGGAACAGTATATAAAAGGAAGACTGCTGGCATTCACTGGATTTAGGGAAGTAATAATCTGTTGAGCCAAAGTTCGATTTCACAAATATAGGTGAAGTGGAAAAAGACAAATTAATTCAGCATGATCAGATGTCAAACACTGTGTGTATTTCAGATACCACAGTGAGATTCATAAGAGCAGAATGTCGTTTTGTTCTATTAGAGTCTTTGAAAAAAAAGATACACTGAAGTTTCTTTAAAACTTAAAAAAACTTCTAGGATAAATAATGAAAATAAGGAAGTGATGCTCCCCCTCTGCTCAGCCCTGGTGAGACCTCACCTGCAGTGCTGTATCCAGTTCTGGGCTCCTCAGTGCAAGAGAGACATGGAGCTCCTGGAGCAGGTCTAGAAGAGGGCAACTGGGACTGGAGAGTCTCTCTTATGAGGAAGTGCTGAGGGAGCTGGGCCTGTTCAGCCTTGAGAAGAGGTGATTGAGACTGGACCTTATCAATGTCTCTAAGTATCTGAAGGTAGAGTGTCAGGAGGATGGAGCTAGGCTCTTCTCGATGGAGCCAAACAACAGAATGAGAGGCATGGGGCAGAAACTGATGCACAGAAAGTTCCATCTGAATATAAGGAAGAACTTCTTTACTGTGCAGGTGACTGTGCACTGGAACAGACTGCCCAGAGAGGTTGTGGTCTCTCCCTCACTGGAGACATTCAATTCTGGATGCTTGAGCAGTGGGCCACTGTGGTCCCTTCCACCTTACCCATTCTGTGATGAACTGACAGTGCATTGCATCAGTGTGGAGTTACCTTTGGGATAGTAATTACAACAGTTGCTTACTCTTTTGCTTTAGCAATACATCGTCATGGACTACATATTTAATGCATAACAGCATGTATGAAAAGATAATAGCATCCTATCCACCTCTTAATGCAGGACCTATTTAACTGTGCTGATATCCCTCCTTTTTATCAGAGGATATTAACAGATATGGTAAAACATAGCAGTTGTTTATTTTGCTTTTCCCAGAATTCGATAAATACTGCATAAGTATTCACATATTTCTTAACCAGTTGGCTTTGTCTGTCACACCTTTTCCACCCTGCCTTGCCTCCATACAAGCAAGAACATCTGTAGACAACAGATAGAGAAGAATATTTGGGAGTGCTCCTGCTGGAGCCTTGATGCTAACACAGCTACAACCTTCCACTGTCTGAGTGTAGACTCTGCCAAACCCTGCCTACAGGGCTTTGGTGGCCTGTGCTCTTATTCCTTTCTAATAGGTCTCCTGAAAGATTCTCAAAGAGGTTGCATTCAGACCCTCTGTGATATGCCTGCTCCCCATTTAGGGTCTGTCACCTGATCCTTATTCCTTCAGGATGGAGAGAAGCACTGTGGTCAAGCCATCTCAAACTCTTCAGCCACACAGCTCTCTAACCAAAGCGTAAGTTGCCATGTGAATGTCTGAACCAGCCAGAGGAGTTTTTCTTTTAGCCTTTTGGGAAAACTGATTACTTCATGCCATGCATAGCTTTATCACCCAATGAGAGTTTGTTTATCAGCTCCACTCTCACAAGTAGGTAACTGTGAAAAGACTCAGTGGTGACTAAGTTCCTGCTGGAAATAGTCTGGAGTTTCTTTCAAAGCCACACCTGTTCATGTGACACAAGCCTCTTGGGCGAGCCGCCTGCTCTCTCATGGCATTGAGAAACAGTATGTCACACCCCAATGAAAAGGTACGGCCGTATTGAGCACAAAAACATATATGTAAGCAAAGAAATGTCTTTAGGCAGTCAAGGAACACTGTCCATTTAACCATATCTAATGTTTGCACTCTCTCTCTCTTACACACACACACAGTATTTTTCACCCGAGTAATATTTCTATTTGGTTAAGAGGGAAGAAGAAAGAAAGGGGAAAGGCAAGGTTACTAGGAGGGGAGGCATAAAATGTTTCTGATTCAACTGTGATGAAGTCAGATGAAGACAAAATGCCTACTGGTTTCTGCAGGTGCCCAGTTCCTTACAGTTGTGATACACAGAAACAATATAGTCTTTACATGTCCAAACTTACCACAATTACATGCTTGAAAAGAAGCTTTAAAATACAGAATGAGTCACAAAGAAATTGACAAGAAGATGTAATCTTGTAATAGTCCCTTTCAGAGGATACAGTAATTTGTAGACACTTGCTTCCTATTTATCAAAATTAACTGTCACACCTTACACTGACACCATGGATTTGGAATACATGATGCAATGCAATGATGGCTCACGATGACGAGTACACAGAATGAACCTTGTCGCTTGTATTTCAGCTGATCCACCCAACTATGACTCACCAGTGAAGGACTGAACTTTTTGTCCTTAGGCAAAGGGCACAACAGCTGTGTCTCCCAGACATGGTGCCAAGGCTTCCATGACATCTCCAAGTGCACTCAAGATAAGACCATTCAAGAGCAGTTTTTTTCTACCACAGGGCTTTTTGGCTCACATAGCGAGCAGAAGGCTTGCAGACAAGCGAGACAGACAAATCAAGAACCCTGTGGCTTTCACTTCCGTACTCTGGTCTGAGGCTTTAAAATTAAATTGAATTGGGGGAAATTAGCTAACCATTTGTTTGTTCACTTTTTTAATATCTGACTCAGATCATGCTGAGGAGCACGTGAAACTTTGATGGACTTGCAGCTGTTTCTACGGTTTCATCCTTGATGTCCAGATTGGTATCACTAACATTAACACAACAGCAAATAGCTGCTCCTACTTCTGCTCCCAGCAAGACTCTGCCCTTACAGATGTAAGCAAGCCTGATGACAGACACTGATGATTGCTAAGGCCAGTTGATTCCAGAAGGAGGTGAGTAGATATTCCATTTTAGGGTCATCCTTTCAGACAGCATTCTGCCATTAATCCACACAAGATCAGATTCATTCCTGTCACTCTTTGGGCCACAGTAAAACCGAGCTTTGAAAAAAAGTCCTGACTAAAGCAGAAGTCTCTACCCAAAACCACCATGAAGCTAGGAGCTCTAGTAACCCCTCTTCTAACTAGCATCTTTTCTAATTAGCAGTCCCCAGCATACACCCAGTTCACACAATACTTAACAATTTAATATTTACAACAAACAAAATTAGGTTCTGCTTAGAGAAAAGAAAATGTTCGTAGAATTTGGTCAAATCACTATTTAAAAAGCAGGAGTTCTTTTTTCAGAGCCAACTCCATTGTAATAAATCAAAGTTCAGCCTTCTCTCTCATCTGTTGTGCGGCTAATTATAGGAATAATTTTGCAAATAAATTTAGAAGAACATTAAAATGTGGTGCTTTGGTAATGGGCTTAAATGGTAACTAAAACTTGTTAATTTCTCCAACAGTTTTCCCCACTTCCTTATGGAGTAACTCATGTCAAGCAGGATGTAACATCACAACTAAGGATGATCTTTCATTTGCAAAGAACGTGAAAATACTATGGAAATGTTGAATGTTTTTAGAAACAGAAACTTAGATAGCATCGGTTATCTAGAGAGAAACTGAAAACTCTGGTTTCAAACTGTGCCTGTCTAGACTCAATGTATATTAGTCTTTGAGCCACCTAACAGCTGCTTCACTGTGAAAGTGGTAATTAAATAACCACAGCAGAAATACAAATGACCACAAAGACTACACAGGAAATCTGGCAGCTCAGATATGTCAGGTCACCTTCATTGCTTCTAACTGGATGCACGTCCCCATGCAAACCCCAGAGTCTGTAACTGCTGTGGAAAACGGGTATAGGTCAGAATAGGTGGTCCCCGTGAGCTGGGTAAGGAACATATCAGGTACCAACTTGGAACCCTCCCATGCAGGACCCTGCACTTCTTCAGCTAGTCGCAGTTCACCACACCCTGTGCACCTCCCAGATGTGCAGGAGTAGCTACTGACTGAAGTCATGATCTGTCAGCATTGCCTAGTCCAGCACACAATGGTGAAAATGGCTGCGCTACTGCAAGTCCTGAACAAAACAGTTATTTTGTGCTGGTAAAAACACTTCTCTGTTTGAAAAAGCAGGTCTGGACAATGCTATAAACACATTCCGTAGTTTGGGACAGGAGAGCTTCTTAGGTCTAGGGGCCTGTTGCTTGCAGCTACTTTAGATAGAAGGTACAGAAATGCAGGTACTGCTTCTGCAGGACGTGTATCTGCATTTGACATGGTTAATAAGAGGTGCTCCCGAGAAAGAGTTGAGAAAACTTGCTGAAGATGGTGGTGAAATATATTTGCACAGCTGCTTTTGTCATGTTCCTGTGAATAGAGCTCTATTTTTGAGCTTGGTTTCACAAAATAAAGGAAATGGGATGTCAGAAAGCATAATGGTAAGATGGAGAAGCAGCAGTAACAGCTAAATGAGCAACTCTGGAATCATTCATATCTGATTGAAATATTGTGTTTACTATTTAGAAACAACTGTTTCTAAAACACTTAAGTAATGGCCACTGAAATAGCTTTTTAAAAATTATTTGTAAAATGCCAGGCAACTTTTCTGCTTAACAAGTTTAGTGGTTTATTTTTGTCATCAGGCTACACTGTCCTCAGATAATTCAACAGCTCCCAAATAGAGTCCAGACCAGTCAAGTTGTCCCTTTCAATCTCTCAATCACTGTTACAAACCTCTCTTTGTGATGAGAACCAAGCATATGGCTAGAACAGGTGTCTCAGGTAGTTCTGGCTACTCATACATAACCTTTGTTTCTATCTTCAGTGTGTACCTCCACTCACATTCTATGAAATTGCATGCAAATACCCACAGATATCAGAACGGAGATCTCGGCACAACATATGAGAGTGATTCCTGGATGCTTGACAATTCTACAGGGGTTGGGGAAGATGCAAATACAGCTCATATCTTTGGAGGTGTTTGGGAAAGAGGCATTCCTTAGGGATGTCTCTGACAAAGCTAATGGTGTATGCTGTAATTCTAGCCCTTGAGACATGAGGAGAAAACCCTGTGAGATATCTTGATGACTATATTTAATCACATGAGTTATCTTGTAGTCAGTGTTAACGTGGACTTCAGAAATTGCCAGGCACTCTGCTTCAAGGCGGGGCTGAACCTGATTTTTAAGTTAGATATCTTTCTAAAGCATTTGTTTCCTTCAGCCTCTAAGCTTTGATAAGTAACGACCATTGTTATGATTTTGCTCACCTACCTGGCCAAGGTGGTTTTGCTTCCAGGCTGTCATGGATGCCGTAATGAGAAAGGACTCTGAGCATTCCAGCTACTCCTGGATCTGTTTCCACTGAAGTCAGGAACAACATCCTACACTAGCCACCATTCTTGTACCACAGGTGTCCAGTGTTGGGGCCCGTAAGTGCCCCAGTTGCTTTCTTAAGGACTAATTTCTGTATCAGTATCTATAAATATATTTAAGTTTATTATTTGTATCTATATGTATTCTTGGAGCATCAAATATTTGTTCATGGAAACATCAAACTATTAAAATCTATTTTAAATCTACTTAAAATCTAGTGTCATATTCAGTCATGAAACATCACTACTTAGCTCATTTCTGTGGCTCGTCTCTATTCTCTTGATTTCACCTTTTCAGCTCTTACTCAGCCCAAGGGGGCTCTCTGACCCCAATTTCTGTTCTGTTGCTTCCAGACCAAATTTTTTCCCCCAGTTCAAGCCCTTGATGGATGCCTTTTATTCCTAAGCCCCTGAACAACTTTCCCTTCATTGAATCCACTAAAACTTTGGAATGTGCTCTTGACTACCCTTACCTGGGTTAACAAGAATGCAACAGAACACACCAAGAAGGATTGAGAGATGCCAAGAACTGGGAGTGTCAGCTTTGGTCTAGCATATGAAAATAGAAACTTGACTATACACTTCAAATGGTATACTTTTAACTTGCATTCAGCATTTACTTATGGGAGATTTGTATTTGCAAGAAGGTTTGCATTGATGGAAGCTCTCTGAAACTCTCCCATTGAACAAATGTTTGTTTTTACAAAATTAATAAAAGATGTAGGTATCTAATCAATTTGCAATTTTGTTTGATTCTTCTCCTTATCTTTATAGAACTGAAATGCCCATACAGGACATTAGCCATTATGAGGTGATATCAATGGCAAATTAAGCACTATGAAAAGAAAAATAAATTATATTCAGAGGGAAAATTCCATGCATAGTGTGTATTCAACTGGAAAATTAACAATAACTATTTTTTAAAGATACTTGTGAAACAATCCAAGTTTATTCTCAGAACTATTAATGAAAAACATAAATTTAAAACTATGTAAACAAAGAAAAATGCTGTAAGACCTGATGATCCTCTCCTTCCCTCTCTATGCTTGTATTCAGTACTTCTCGGATGTGTTTTTTGGATTAAAAAAAGTTATATTTTGACATATATGCTGTTTAGCATGTGAAATTCCATGGACATACCTGCAAACATATTTAGCTCTTAAAGGGAAACTGTTTGCTTAATATTCCTTAGAGAGGTGACCTTTAAAACACCAGAACAGAGAGATTATGTTTGAAACAAAGTTAGCCCCCAAAAGTGAGAGGATTTAGAGCTTTAAAAAAATAAAAACAACTCAACATACAAAATATATATTTGTGTGTATATATATACACACACATATATACACAAATATATATATATAACCTCAGGTTTATTTATCTAAATATATATATATATACCATTTCCTTTTGTACCTCAGTTATCATTGTCCATGAAGGACTCACATAAATTCCATGGGAAAAACTTCAGATGTGAAAAATATCATAACTATCAAGCTGTTTCGATCAGATGCTCTCACCCCTGATCATCACCTTCTTATTCTCATACCACCACACAGGGACAGATTCCTGACCAACCTCCTTAGCCTCTGGCTCTGCAATATCAAAATACTGTGGCCAGATGGTTTTATTATCCAGGAGGTGAGGATAGCATGATATTCCCCAGAAGGAGATGTAACTTTTTTATAGGACATTATATTTTTTTAAAAGTGGAAGAAAAAACTGGTGTGTGGATATAACAATTTTGTGGCTGTCTGTATAATTAAGAAGAATGTATTTTCACCTTAGAGGGATTATCCTTGTCCTGAAAATCTCAAAATAAAAATGGAGACAAGAGAAGGTAAAGCAATAAAAAGAGGGCAGATGAAAATGGGAAAAAAATGATCTGTTAAAACACCTACTGATAACAAAGCCCGATTGCCTTTCTCCATGATAATTGGAAATTAAAAGGAGAAACTCTGGAGTACCTAACAGAAGACAAGACGGAGCAAACATTTGGGGGAGAGCCTTGGAGAAAAAAACCCTATGAAATGTGGGTCATTTTGGATTAATATCCCAGGAAGCAAGCAGGCATGGAGTAAGTCTGAAGAAAAAGAAACTTAGAAAAGGACAAGAAGATTGGGTAAGTCAGGAAAAACAGACATTCTACAAATACAAGGAGGACTGAACTCTGCTGGGCCACCAAAGTGAAGAATAAGACTTTAAAGGAGAGTCAGGAAAAAGAAGTAAAGAAAGGGAAGATATTCAGACTCCTTAACACCAACGTAGCATTAAGAAGCAGGCATTCTTTATTCAGTGCTGGATGCACAAGGGAATATTTCCTCCAAAGTATCATGTGTCCACAGAAAAGGCTCCTGTTTATGTACTGTACTTTACATACCTATTCGTTGCCAGAATGAACATGCATGTGATAATCATTTCCCCAAAATCAGTAACATATTTTCCCTCCCCTTTGCACAAGCATTCTTCTGTCCCTGGGGTCCCTCCACTGGTCTCTGGTGGTCATCAGCCCTGAAGTTATACCTTACTGCCCAATGAACTCAATGTCACTTTCTCAAATATGGAGTTGAGTTGGCACAACTAATACAGGTATTCTCCTCTTCTCTTCTTGGTTACTGTTCAGCATGATCCACATTACATAGTTCCATAGGCCAGTGATTTTTAAGAAGCAGCACTGTATTTTCCCTACCACCAGACAAAACAGTTCTTCATCTGGCAAAAAAAGGTCAGTCAGAAAATGGTAGGTTCCTTAGGACTGGGAGAAAGCAAATGTTCCTCCTGTTTTCTAGAAGGGCGAGAAGTTAAAGCTAGAAAATACAGGTTGATTAGCCTCACCTCAATCCTTAGGAAGGTGATAGATCAACTAAGCCTCAAAACAATTTGTAAACAAACAAAGAAGAAAAAGGTAACTGTGAGTAGTCAACATCAATTTATGCAGCAGGAACAATGCTTAACCAACCTGGTAGCTCCCTATGACCAGATGACTAGTTTGTGAACAAGGGGTGGTAACTGGATGTTTTGAATCTGAACTTCAGGAATGCTTTCAACCCTGTGTCCCATAATACCCTCATAGACAAACTGACAGGGAACGAAGCAGATAAGGATATGGTGAAGTAAACAGAGAGTTGGCTTGAACAGCCAGGCTGCAAGCCTTGTGATCCATGGCAAGAAGTCCAGCTGGAGGCCAGTCACGATTGGAATGCATCAAATGTCAACAGTGAGGCCACTACTGTTTAACATCTTCATTAATGACATAACCCTCAGAAAGTTTGCAAA